AATGCTCTTCAGCAGATGGCAATATAAAACGTTGAAGAATGTCCCTCAAATGTTTAATCGCCGTTGACTTTCCTGCCTTTCTTCGTTTTCCTGCTTTTGTACTTGTTTTTCTTTTTACCAGAAATTGAAAGACTTCTCCGGCTGCTTTTAAGTCCTAACTATTATTTTTATTGTGGGGTTGGCCGCTGTCTAACGACGTCTCAAGTGCTAACAAAGCTGTCTAGAATCACAGAGACAGGACTTCCCCCCTCTGAAAGTCCCTCCATTGTCACCGAACCTCCGGCAGCACTTTTCCATTTTATTTTCCCGACCGCAGGGACACCCCCTTCTTGTGCCACCCTGTTTATATTGTTCCGTTCTGTTCTGTTTTGCATTATCTGCAGGTTTCTGCACAGATGCCTCCGAATGCAGGGCTCAAGACCCATTATCCCACTTTTAATACGGGATTTTCAGTGGCGTTTTGAAGGGATCTTGACAATTGCCTTCGAAACCTATTACAGTTTATAATTATTTAAATTATATCTTTTTAAGGTAATAGTAAATACCTTTAAAAACAAAACGCTGCTTTAATGAAATGAAATGAATTTTAAAATTCATAAGAACCCCTTTAAAAACACATCCCTGACATTAAACCCCTTCCTATTATTGTGGCAACTGTTTACTAAGCGAAAAAGTTGTAAGCGAAATAAATTGCGGCTTAATAATAGATGCTGGAAAATGGAGGAAATGGGAAAACCAACACGTGTCGATTCGCAAAATCCGAAACTGTGAAAATACGCCCGCCCAGAAAACCTTGACAACCCAAAACAAGGGCCTAGATAAAATAAAAAATAAAAAAAGAGGGAAAGGAAAACGCTGTAAAGTTAGCCATGCCGGCCGAAAGTTTTCTTTACGCAATCATCATAAATTAACGACTCTCAACAAGTGGCAACAGAAATTGTGGAAAATGTGGAAAAGACGCAAGAAAATGTGGAACATAAAACTGAGAAGGTAAAACTTTTCCAAGAGCAGGCGGAGAATCTCGTCTTCCTGGTGCTCACTTCTTAATCTTTTTTACGTTTTTTGCACAGAATTTCCTGCTCCACTTGCATAAATATGTCAATTTTTTTCAATTTTGTTTGAGTAATTATGGTCTAGACAAAAAATTAAACTTCTTCATGCCATTCAAACACTAAAAAGAACTGTGGCGAAATAAATCAAGTAAATATAATTTTAAAATATTAGAGAATCTGGAAAGCATTAAAAACGAAAATTTGGTTAAGCCTAAGTATTAGTTTAAATTTTATATTAAATTAGGTAAGATCTTAAGAAATTCCCAGTGTGAAATTCACTTTCAATTAGCAGGACAGCAGCTTGTCCTCGCCGACAGTTGCAGATTCAAATTATGTTCATGCATATTTAAAGTACTTAATGAATTTCAGGGAGCTCGACGTTGTCTATTCGAGTTTGACGAGTTCAAAATGTAAAAGGGGGCGTGGCAGAGGGAGGAGGCGTTTGCCTGGAACAAGGTCGGCCAGCGCCTGTTGCAGTGGCGATGGCATAATTGAGGAAACATGTACTCCACTTCGGGGACTCCCGGATGGTGAAAGTAATACAAATTGGGGCGGGGGAGAAGGGAAAGTAGTTTTGGCGTGGAAGGGGATGAACAATTTGCCCAACTATTTCCCAGCTCTCTTGCGCTGTTACATCCTTCGCTGATTGGGAAACAATTCACGAATGGCGCACATTTAAACGCGGGGAAAATGCAGTCAAATTTTGGGGAGAACAGCAGGAAAAAAAAAACAGACGCTTTTAGTTAACTTTTACCGCTGATTTTCCACGACTGACTCACAATTAAAGCGGGGCGAAGAGGCAAACTACTTTCAGTCGAGTACGTGACCGGTATTCGCAATACATATTATTAAACATGTTCATGAATGCAGTTGAAGGGTTAAAAAAAATTGTTTTTTTTTTAATTTACTGCAAAAAATTTGAATCCAACTGGTGTACTTTATTCTGTGATCTTCTATAATAATGAACTTAAAGAAAGGTTGCTGGGCATTCCAAAAAGTGAAAGCTTGAAAAATGCATCTTAACAGACTTCGAGGAAAATCCGTCAAGGAATGGGAAGCATGCGACATTTAACCGTGAAAAGAGCTGAGGAAAAGCGAGGGAAATTCCTTGGGCGGCGGAGAGCCTGCAAAGAATAGAATGATGTCGCCCTTTGAGAAAAGCCTTAAATGGTAGAAAACTCAAAAGCACTGAGAAGAGCCGGAAAAAGATGACTTGCCCCGCGGAAACTTCAATCAACTAGAGATTTCCCCCAGAAAATTGCAAATGACTTACAACTGCCACCGATGGGACCGGCATTATTTTTCCCAACTGAAGGGCATTCGAAAGGGCCGATCAAAAAACGCAATCAAACGTCAGTCAGCAATGTAATTCTGACATGGCTTAAGTAATTTCCAAGGACAAGGACGAGTTTGTTTATTGGTAGTTTTTTTTATGCCGTTTAATGTGCCATCATAAATTTATTTAGAAGCAAAGTAAACTGACAAATAATAATAATACAATCTATTCATATTTCCAAATAAACCTTTAAACTCTTTAGACGTTTAGCCCCCAAAAATTGATTACCTCGCAGCGATACCGACCGTCAGAAATGAAAAACAAATTGTTTTCTTTAATACGCGACGTCGGGGAATTACTCCGAGCAATTGGCAGTAACTGCACCCCCGCTTAACCCCTGTTTGCCCACGATTCCCCATAGAAGCCCCTAAAGATATGCAACAGTTAAGAGTCCGACGTCCAATTTAATTGGCTTAGCTTGAGCTCCGCGCTCAGGGCTTAGTGCCCTCGTCTTTGGGCTTTGTTTGCATTGGGGGCGAAGGGCTCCTCCACTTAACAACGCTGACAACCCGATTGGGGCATTAACCTCCTGATGGCCAAGGGGGTTACCACGCGACCGGGTCGCATTGCCGAAAGCATCGTAAAACGCGGCGTATCAAATTATCGTTAGATTTATTGCCCTTTTTGCGAGGCACTTGTTCCCATTTTACATTTTTATAGAAGCGGACAAACAACGCAGAAAGTTGTTAAAAAAAATATGGGAGGAGTGTCCGAATGACAGTGGGCTTGCATAGCTCTTTCTCCTATAGCTGACAACCAGTTGTGCAAATGAAAAAGTTTCTGCTTCACTTGGTAGTTGAACAAAAGGTTTTTTTAATCACTGTTAAACATATTCTGTTCAAAAATACATACTACGCATAAATATCAAAAAGCATATTTTAAAGCCTACACAAAGCATATGTTTTGGTTTAATACAATTAACTTTGTTGTACTCATTTGAGTGCAAGAAATGGAAAATTAAATTAAATTTTATTACATACTACCTTACCATAACATAACCCGAGATAGTTGCTTGTTTTAAGAATATTATTTGAAGAATGTTTTTGGAAGTTTTGGATGTTTGGGTTTTGACTTTCCTTAACATAGCTGCGCAAACTGATTTATTTGAGGTTCCTGCGAAGATTCCATCCGCTGTCGGACACTTGCAGCCGTTGCAACTTTCAATTATGCATGCGTTTGTTAGCAGCTTGCGCCCTGAATCACTCGACACGCATCATACATTTTTCATGATGTGGCCAACACCTTTTCCGGCGTTTTTCTGATTTTCCGAACCTTCCTGAATTTTCCGAACCATCGTGGATTTTTAAAACGCCCTTTTCAGACTGACGCACACGTTTAGATAGCTGGTGCGGATGATTGAATCGCCATTTTGCAGCTCTTTCATCCAGCATTGAAGCCAATCAGTCAGGAAGGGATGGGCGTAATGGGCGTGGGGCGTGGGGCGTGGCAAATGCATTGTCAGCTGCGCTGCATTTTACCTAGCTGATTACCGAAACGCTGACAGAGCCCCGACAATTGTGCCAGGAGAAATATGAGAAAATGCAGCGATGTGGTATACATATCAAGTATACGACACGTGGCCCGTATGCCATTGTCTCCTCCATTTTGGAGAATAACAAACGAGGTGGTACAGCTGGCATTCACAGATAGTAATGCCAGCCTCCCTGCTGCAGTTTGTCTTAGCCGGTCTGAATTACTAGGAATTTTCCATCAATTGTACCTCTAATCCTTTAACAATCATTTAAGAGGTTCTTTTACAAACTGTGTGTGTTCATTTGGAATAACAAACCGCTGACAGCGACAAAATCAAGTGAAGTGTGTTCCCATGAATATTAAAACACCGAAATTGCACTATGCGTAGGTGCTGAGGTGGTAAGCTTTTGTGTTTTTATGAACTGGAAAATCGAAATGCAAATGTGTTTTTAATGTAGTCATTTATTCATTTGAGAAGGAAATTGGAAAATTGTTGAAAAAGAATTGTAAATTATAATTTTTCTTTTTGGAAAAGATCTTCCGAATAAATCTATTTCCTATTTTACTAAGAGTAGAAAACAATTATTTGTAAAATTCTTAATTTTGTCAGGTGTTTAGTTAATTTCACTTATTTACTTCTTTTAAAACCTTTTAGCCAGAATATGGCATACTCTCGTTTTTACTGTCTTTTTTATGATTGCTTGATAAATCCTTGATTTTGATTTGTGGTCACAAAAACTAGGCCCCCATATTGCCATCAAATGTCAAAGTAATGCGAAGCGTGTGGTGGCATAAACCGAAGGCATTGGCACGATTAACCCACACGTGATGACAGAAGTCAACAAAAACTAAGACAAAACAGGACAAAGGCACTCGGGGGACTCATAAAAATGCCATATGAGGAGTGGAATCTTTGTTGCAACAATACGTATTCATGGACCAGCGCAAATAGAGTGTAATGAAATTAAGGATTCATGTTAATGGCTCTCGGCGAGTAGGCCTAACTAACTATGCAAAGTGTTTACGCCGCAAAAGAGACACGCTGCCTATAAATAATGAATTGCTTGTGGGGATCGCAGGGGATGGCGAATGGTGACTGGTGAATGGTGAATGGCGGTTGGAGGATGACAATCGCTCACCTTCAAGGAGGCCGGACAACGCCTATCCTGTCCTTTCTGCTTTCTGCACTTTCAAATGTTCGGCTCAAAGTTGGCGCACTTTCCGTACCGGGCCAACGGGGCGTATGAGCGACGGCAGCGAAGATATCGAATATCAAGTAGCCGACAGCGGAGGCGACCTGCCACAAGGCGACACAAAAGCGAACTGAGACGCCCCATCCGGCGACTAGTGGCCGCCAGAGCCACATGGAAATTGAAAATGATGCTGCCGCACGAAGCCGTAGAGTTCGGCTCTCGGTTCGGGTCCACACGAGCAAACAGTCGCCGTCAAAAAGGACAAGGCGGAGGACACAGTCGCGGTAGAATATCCAATGGCTTGGGCACACACTCTTGGGCAGAATATTCAAGCAGGCTGTAAAATATTTTACTTTTTATTTGGCTGGTTTTTTTTTTTTTTAAGATATTCCAATTGGTTTCAAAAGTGCTACTATTCATTTTTTTTATGAAAAATTTCCACAATTTAAACCTGGCTGTTCTTCGCCACAGCCATGACCTAAAATAAGATTATAAAAGAAAAATACATTAATTATCATTAGAAATTTTTTTATTTTGTTGTCGATATTTTTTTAATTTTTATTATAGAACCCCTTTTTAAATTTTTCAAAAAATTGGCTTGCTGAAAATTGTGATTGTGATGATTGCAAGGGTATCTAGCTTACTTTCTTTTTTTTACGTAATTGTCACATATATCTATTTTTATATATTCTTTTTCACTTATTTATTTTAGTCGTCTCAATTTTTTCGGACTCCTCTGTTATTCAACTTACAATCAAGTCCTGCCTTTGGGCCAAGTCTTTATGCCAAGTTGACACCTGACCACGACTCTGTTCAGTCCGGCTAATTACCCTAGTGTCCGGCCGCTTTTGGTGGCACTTGGCGACACGTCGGCCGTGTCCTTGTGGTCCTTAGCCCCCCACTTGGACACTTTTGCCATCGTGTGTTATCAGTTGACACAAAGTCAACTTTGAGCACCAGGTGAGCTCAATTTGCACCTGGCCACGCCAGCCACACCGGGGCCCATGAGTTTTTTTATGTACTTGCACTGAGAGAATACGAATTTAGGAAAACATGCCCCAAGTTGAAAATATATGGTAACATAGTTCAATTAAATGGTAAATTTACTGAAAGTATACTTTGTTTGTATTGTACCATATGACACAACGATGCCATGAACTAATGTCTACTTTTTCCACTGTGTAATGCTGTGCATACGTGTATGCTTAAGCCGCAGAAAGTTGATATTTCTGTTGCTCTTTCGCCGTCCATTTGCCCACCCCTAGTCCTTGGTTCGGAGTGCTGTTTATGCATGCAACAGGGCGTATGAGTGCTGGCTAATTGGTTCGAGGAGGCAGCGCAGGTCACAGGTCACACAGCAACAAGTGCAATGCGGGCTAGGCAGAATTTCTGTATATGTATTTTTAATAATAAAAGCTAAGTAATAACATATTTTCCGGACTATGGTACATGTTGCCTTAATATTTCATTAAAATGGCTTACATTTCGAAGTGTAGGTAAGCGTAAAGCCTGATTTTAACTCAAGCAGTATTTTAATCTATTTGAAGTTCATTCTTATGTTGTCAAGCGAGCATCGAACTTTAAAATAGTTTAGAATTAGTTGTTGTTAGTTATTTCTCCCCACGCCCGCACAGTTTGGAACGCACTGAATGGCATTTCAATTGAAATGCAACTGGTCGCTCGCTTTTTTGCTCGACTTTGCTTGCTTTGTGCTTATTTATTGTTTTCGGTCGTATTTCGGTGACACTTCGCATGGCTTGTTGCGCTATTGCCAAAAACGATAAAGCGGCAAAAGCAAAACATTTAATTGGCGGCTGCCCCCTGTCCATCTCACTTTTTTCCCGTCGGGTAACTTTCTTTCCGCAAAAAAAGCGAAATAAAAAGCGCACCCACACTCCCGCTGGCATACAAATGAAGAGTAATGGTCCAAGCCCCCTCGAAAAAACCCCGCCCCTGCTTCGCTGCTGCTTATGCAAAGCTTGTAGGTAAAATACAAAAAAAAAACGGAAAAAACAAACGAAAGCAAAAGCAAAAGCAAAAGCAAAAACAAAAGACAATTAAAAATTACAAATAAATATTGTAATAATTGTCGTATAATTGCCGGCGCGAAAGGTAGACAATAACATAATTAAATAATTTCAGTGGCTCTTGGCTGGTGGCATTTGAGTGTTATATAATATTGCCCGATTATGGGGGTTATTGCTTTTCACGGCCTTAATGGCCCCCTCTTTCTTGGTACGTCTTTCTTTGGGGCATTTGTTAAAATTTTTTCCCGCGATTCGCTCACTAATTTAGCTATTGCAACATTTTGGGCCAACGTTAAATGCTGTGAAAATCCAACACTTTTGTGCTGAAGTGTCAGCGTGGGAGAATTCGCGTTTAACCCATTTTCGGTTCAGAAAACAAATTTTAAACTGCACTTCAAATGTTTTCAGTTACCTACCGAGGAAATTTATAGAAACAATGGAATTCAAGTGAAATCTCAACTCCATAATTTTCTTTGCAACTTTAAATATTAATTTAATATCTACAAATTTGTATTCACAAGTAAAAGTTTTAAGTATAATGGTAATATCAGCATATATTTTTTAGTATGTTAGCAACTCTGAACTGGCTGCCCTTAGCTTTGAATTGCATGTTAAAATGGGAAATTAAGAGCTTAGGGCAACCAGTTTAGTGTCCTATATTTTAGGGTAATATACTGATATTGGATGCCTGGGAGCTTATAGAAATGAGTGTGCCCATGGGACTCCGCTTGCGAGGTCTTCGCAATGTTATATCCGACTGTCGCATCCGACGCATGGCCAAATCGTAGTCGTTGACGTGAATGCAAATGGCAATATAGGCCACCAGATGCGGCGCTCTCAGATCCCGGGCCAGTTGACTTGCCTTCGCCAGCGATTCATTCAGTCTCTCGAATCGATTAAGCACGGCATGCACTTGGCATCCGAGAAAAATGCTGTTGAATCGCCAAATCAAACTGTTGCAGCTGCGGGCCTCTGCGGGGTTAATACCATATTTACTTTAGAGGAGTGGGTTAAAAGGGCCTGAAATTGACCCACCGTTGAAGGCCTTGCGGGCTATAACTAGGCACTTGTCGAAGCGCGACTCCTTGAAGTGGCAGCGCGCGATCTCGAAGAACAAATAGGCTCTCTCGATCGGATAGGGGAGTGGCGCAGCCGATTCTCCAGATTCTCCAGTTTCTGGCTATTAAAATGTAGTTACTCTTTTTAATAAATTCTTTAAATATATTGGTTTCTTGTATTCATCTCTAAACTCACTTAATTCGACTGTGCCGCTCCTCCTCGCGCCCGATCTCCAAGTAGATGTTGGGCCCCCCAAAGCTCACGGTCATGTCGCGCACCTTCTCCGTTTTGAGTAGATATAGAGTCGGTCGATTTTTGGGCTCCAAAAAGTCAACGTTGGCGGGAACGGCGCAGCGGTCGCAATGGGCCAATGCCAGGGTATTGTAGACATCGTTGATGAACTCCCACTTCCATGGCAGCGTTCGATGGGTCTTCAGCTCGATGTGTTTGGACATTATGTGCTCCACGTAGTCGGTTAGCCCCTCCAAGTCACCCTCCCTCCGACGCTTGTGCACCTCGTGCAGCATCCTCAAGCAGTCGCGGCGCGTTTGGTACTGTGCCTGGAACAGGTGCATCTCCTTGCGCCGCCGCCGCTCCTGCTCGCCGATTCTCCCGCGTCGCTGCCTCTTGTACCACCGGTTGTACAGCGGATTGCGGGCCTGCATCATTTTCTAAAAACATGCATTTAAATTTTGACAAATGTCGGTTCATTGGATCATACAAATGTATTTATAAATAAGTAAATTTAATGTTCATAGGACTCACCATAAACCTTCTGACAATGGTGTACTGTTCCTCGCTCAACTCGCGCATTTGGGCCGTGGACCTTAGCCTCAACGGGTCGAGAAAATTGCGATCGTTGCGCAGCTGACGCAAAAGCGCAATGTCGACTGCATTGCGGCCCATGTAGTTGTAGTTGTACAACCTTTCGGTCGCCCACCGACGAGCCTTTTCCATCGGGGTCAAGTGTACCGACTCCTTGGCAATGACGCTTTCCACATCGCACTGCCGCCTTTCGCGCAACGTCTTCCAAAGGGGGCGGGGCACGTCAGCGGCCAGCTCCTTCAGCCGGCGATTCACCTCCTCAAGGACACTGCTGTTCTGCTCCATAAAAGGATGCAGCGATTCGCCCATCGCGTCATCGAAAACGGCAAGAGTCTAAAATTGAAAAACTTATTAATATTTTTGTTTCGCCTATTTCCAAAAAATATAACAAATTGTTTCATTTGTTAAGACGCACTCACCCGCTGTTTGATCAGGCCGAACCGCCCGTAAGTGGACTGTCCGCCGAAAGGGCGGCTCTCCACGTGGAGCGTGGTGAGGGCCTTCTCGAATTCGTTGGCCTCGAAGAGGTCGTGGCACTTCTCGGCAACTATGTCGGCGGTCCCCGCAACGCTGTACTCCGGCCCAGGGGAAGCCAACTTGATGGCGCGTTGAGCCAGCTGGGTGTCCAGTAGGGCCAAGTCCGGGCGGGCCAGCGATCGTTGGCAGCGGCCGCGCAGAAACAAGGACTTGTAGTCGCTCCGACAAATGCCCATTTCCGAGTCCAAGCAGCTGCGAACGCGGGCGGGGGAGGTGGGGCGGGGCAGGAGGCAGGTGAGCGGATCGTACGGTGGCCCCCGCTCCTTGCAGACGGTCACGGCCATCCCGAAGTTGTCCAGCGCCTTGCGGTGCAGCAGGCGGCGGGTGTAGTAGATGCCCCAATCCCTGTAGATCTGCGACTGGATGCAGGAGCGCCACTCGAATCGCTGCCACGGGCGGAGTTGCGGCAGCAGGACGCCCACGGTCGCATTGTTTAGTCCGCTTGTCCAAGACATAGTTCTACTGATAATTTTCAGGATACGCTAATTTAAGGAACAATACGATTTTGATAATCAACGAATAAGATTGGTGCTCAAAAAGGTTTTTCACCTAATGGAGCAAAGCCAAATTGATAGGAATTTATGTCGAGATTATCAATTTAAAAAAAGAAAACCTCAAGCCTCTTTTTTTAGGCTTCCGATTATATTTTTGCCTCAGGATACCCAAACTAAAAAATGCAATACAATTAAATCAAATTCCAATTTCACTTTTTTTCACTTTTCCATTGAACTGTTTTCAAGCGGGTTGGAAAAACCCCTGTTACCAAGTTCAATTTTTAGTTGTTAAATTACAATTATTATTTATTTCGCTTGAGTTTGGCTTTGAGTTGGTTTCAATAAATACAATAAATAAGTATTAATTAACAGGCTTCAACGTTTAGCATTAACAATTCATTAACAATTACGAATTACGAGTAAATTAAGTTAAGGAGGGGCTAATGGTTTTCCTCGGGGGGCGTGGCAGGCGGCGGCTGCGAAAACGGCGATGTCGGGACAACGACTTCGATGCCGGCGTCGCGTATGTATTTTCATTTACATTGGTGTATGGATTTCCATAGCCATGGCTGTTTTCATCAGTTTTCACATCGCTTTCTTCGGGTTTTGCTGCATCTGCGGATTCTTCTGCAGCCCCATTTCCAATTTCGTCGTCTTTTTCCTCCTCGGCATAGTCCTCATCCCCATTCTCGTCCTCCTCCTCTTCCTCTTCATCGTTGTTTTCGTCTTTCTCTCCTTCTCCATTATCGGTTTCTGCTGCCTCTTCGCCTTCTTCTTCCTCGGAGGCTGTGTCTTCGGTGATCTCTGGCTTGACCTTTTCTTCGTGACCTGTCTTAACCTCTTCCTCAGGCTCTTTCTCCGCCTTTTGCACTGTTTCTCCCGCCCCCTCTTTTAACGGCTCTTCCTTTAGCTTCTCCCCCTTTACCAAATGGCTTGGGGGTTCCTTCACCTCGAGTTTTTTCTCTACCTCATCATCATCATCGTCCACGTTTATCTCATTATCGCTATCGTTTTCCATTTCGCCGGCCAGTGTTGTCGCCTCTTCTTCGGTTTCTGCTTCATCTTCTTCTTCTTCCTCTTCTTCTTCTGTCCCCTCCGCCTCACCTGTCTCCGCCTCTTTCTTCGCCTCTTCTGCAGTCTTCTCACCTTCGTCCTCTTCTTCAGCTGCTGTCTTCTCGCCATTGTTCGTGTCATCGATAACAACGATGTTTGGCTTGTTAAATGTCGTCGTTGTTTTTGGTATTTTTGTTGTTGTTGTTGTGGGCATTTTAGTGGTTGTTGTTGTGGGCGCTTCAGTGGCTTTTATTGAATTGGTAATTGTTTCAATTACCTGACTTGGCCTCGAGCCACTCTCGCTATAACCATTGGCATTGTCAGGTGTGTTTTGCTCCGTCTCGTTTTCTTTCTCCGCCGCGGCTTCCGTCTCTTTCGCGTCTTCTGTTGGCATTTCTTCGGCCTCTTCTTCGAGAGGTGCTTCTTCTGCCGTATCCCCGGCCATAAGCATTTCACTTTCGATCGGCAGGGGCTCCACCTCTTCAATTTCTTCGTCCTCCTGGTGATCTTCAGTTTCCTGATTGTCCTCCTCTTTTTGATGGTCTTCTGAAGGAGATTCTTCCTTGGGGTGATTCTTCTGGGGTTCCATTGCGATCTGGGGTTGATAACCAATCAGTTGATCTTTCTCGAAGGGAGCTTCGTTTGTCTTCTCTGGTTGACTCTCCTGATATGGTTTATGCTCCACAGTTTGCTCTATGTGAACGAGAGGTTGATAACCTTGATCATCATTTTGTGTATCCTTCTCCTCCTCAGGCTGGTCCTGTTTTATCGCTTCGATCAGTGTTTGATTTTTCGGGGGTTGATAGCTCTCCTGTGCTTGGTTTTCCTCGGGTTGAATAATCAGCGATGGGTAACCCGCCTCATTTTCCTTTTCAGTGGTCAGTAGTGGGTTCTTCTGAGGAGGATTCTGCTCTGGATGGGATTGGGTGTGTGCCTCTCCCTTGACTTCCTCCTCCTGCGAGGGATACTCTTCCGGCTGATCCTCCAGCTCTGCGTACTCGTACTCCTCGGGATCGTCACCTTGGCCACTCTCAGCTGGCAAAACGGGATTGCCGTTCTTGTCGACGTACTGCAGACCATCGAGACCCATTCTCATGCACTGGAAATGCATCTCGAAGAGATCGGTGGTGGCCAGTCGCACCACAAAGTCCATGCACATATTCAGGTTGTTCCCAACCATTGTGACGTCGGTCATCTGGACGCACATGGCCATGGGAACGCCCATCATGACGGGAATGCAGAAGGGCGCCGGATTTCGCACCGAGATGCCGTACTTCGAGGAGGGCTTGCCGTTCAGATAGACCTCCAGTTGGGCCTCCTCCAGATGGGGAACGAAGCTCACATTGGCGCACACTGCAAATAGAGGCAAAATGGAAAGAAAACGCTGAATAAGAAAAAAATTACAGACAGACAGACATAACAATGAAACGATTCCATTCAATGAATGAAAGTGGCGGGTGGCAAACTGTTTCGCGGATCCCAGGCAAGCGAGGATGAGGGGGTGGCCACCGCTGGAAGCGCCAACAATTTGTGGCATTTTGATTGGCAAATGCTGGCATGTCACGAAGCGAAGCCGAGCGAAATGGAAACCCACCGCTCGCATTGTAGTCTCCGGCATGCTCCGCCAAAACTCGCGGCCAAGATCGGTTTCTTGGCCAAGGAAATCGGCTTGGAATTCAGTCCAAGTCACAGCCGAGGAAACGGCCAACACCCGCAGGCCAGGAGCCACGAATCCGATCGGGCTTAAGTGATCGCAACCTGATCCTGATTTATTTATAAACACATGGCCAGCGGATCACTCCGTGGGGGCATATTAAACTAGTAGGCATTATTGCATATTAAGATATTAAGGCTAAACACTATACTGAAAGTAAAACCTTTGAATATCCTTAATAAACGAAAAAAAGTATGTTGAACTCTTAGGTAGTTTACAAATACATTTGATTGAAAAATTCACTGACCATCTTTGTCAGATACAAGCCTAAATCAGAGTTCTTGTTCCTCACCTTTCTGGTCGAAGCGGTACTGATCCACCTTGAGACCGGCGCAGCAGCCGCAAGTGGGTCCGCTGCACTCGCAGGGCTGCCCGAAGGTGGACCAAATGGAGCCCTTCTCCGAGTACTTGACGCTGGCCAGATTGCGACCCCTCGACACACTGACCGTGGGCGGCAGGTAGGGCTGGTGGGACTTCAGCTCGTAGAAGATCAGCCCGTTGCTATAGCTGCGCGAGGATATATCCACGGGCCACAGGACTAGTACGAGGGCCAGGCTGGCAACGGTCCAGGGAATCATGGTTGTTTCTCCACACTCAACAAAAAAAAACAAACGAGATCACTGAACAAAAATGCGTTTCGCGACTCAAGTATTCTGTGGCTTTCTTGAGAAATTCCGCGGATCACTTCGCGATTAACGGTAACGGTATGGTCGTGCAATTCAAATGGCAATTCCACTATTTCAGTGGGGCTCTCGAGCAATGACAACCGCTCGCGATCGACGACAATTAAATATTAAAACGCTGAACGCGCCGAGCGTTAGCTTAAAAATGAAATGGAAACCGCCGGCTGAAGAAGTCGACAGAGGCAGCGACGCCGACTGGGGCAGAGACCAAAATGTTGCTGCCGGTGGCTTCCAGCAGCAACAGCAACGGCAACGGCAACAGCAACAGCAACATCAAACGGCAGCAACATCCAACGGCAGCAGAAACCTCGTTAAATTGTCGCTCGTTGCGGCTGTTTGCTGTTTTTGCGAGCAAACCATTTATACTCTAACCGACAATTGGTCGTCGTAATTCAAAAGGCAGCTTTGTAAAGTAACGAAATAATGTTAAACACTTATAGTTTATTTTAAATTTGTATCATTGATATATATACACCATAAAAACTCTACAATGTTTTGCACTTTTTAAGCTGTAAGAGCATCTCATATTCCCCTTAAAATCATTGTTTATATATATTTCTTATCAGCGGCGGCAAATCGCCAGTTGTTGTTGCAGTAGTAACATTGTTTTTGCTATTGTTGTTACTGTTTCTGTTACTGTTGGAGCTGCTGTTGGTGTTGTTAGTGTTTTTACTGTGGCCGCCGCTACGTTTATTTAACTTTTAAGCCCATGTTGCTGCTGTATCTGCGGCAGTCACTGTTGCTGTTGCTGTTTCTGTTGCTGCTTTGCTTTGTTGCGTGTGCCAAGCGCTTTTTTTTTTTATTTTTTTTTGGGTGACAGTGACAAGAAAATTGCGGCGATCGTGACTGGCTGGGAAAGCCAAAAACAACAAAGCTCCACACTCCCCGACGCTTTTGTTGTTGTTACGCAAAGCACTTGGGGCAGGTCATGGCCCCATGGACAAACTCTCAACCCGGCGATTTCCGAACTGGGAGCCATTACCAGCGGGAGTTACGGTTATGGCCGTTGCTGTTGTGATAAACACGACTGATTTATCGATCCAATTGTCGCAACTGCAGCTGTCAACCGTTTATTTCCAACTTCACCCTTTTTTTCTCGCGAATTGTCCCTTTGTTCTGGCATCAAAGAGTTCATAAATAATCAAATATCACAAATAGTATAATAAGCCGCAATCACAAATAAAATAAAACACAAAACTTGGTGTATTTCTTATGGTTTGATTTTATGTTGCTTCTGTCAACATTTAATAATTTTAGTCAGCTGTAAAAACACCTCTTTATAAGCCCTGCTAATTTCATGCTTCCCCTAAATTATCATTTAACCATATCAATGAATTACTTTTATTAATATTTATTTTGCAATACATAAAGAAGAACCAACGTCTCGGCCCATATTCACGCCTTTTGTTATCGTGATGTTTGCAATACATATTTAAATGACTTCTTGTGAGCAGACTTTAAATTGTTAACTTGCGAGGCATCATCATCATATATTTTTTGGACTGCGGCGTATTTCGGTGGCTATTTTGGGTACCGGTCCCAATCGCCTTAGGGCCTTTAATATTGCATAATGTCTGGCCCAGACTCATTTATCAGCCAATGGCCGACGGACAGACGAGCTGCAATCTCGTTAAGCGTTAAGGGGGACAGACACTTGCCAAGTTCGACGATTGAAAGACGAGCGGTGAAATAAAGCAAAATGGAAATGGAAATGAAAATGGAAATGGGAATAAAAGTGTCGCCAACAATTAACACTAATAAGCTGGAGCCGCGGTGCAATGTGCTTTCGTTTATGTAATGGCCCGGCGCATCCGTCGGCATCGTCATTATCAGCCGCTTCGCTTATTGGGCATTATTATTCATTACTGATAATATCAATTTGGCACGCCTGCGACTCTTTCTCCGTGTCATTTTTGGCCCTTACGCAAAACTATTGCCCCGGCTAAAATTAATGACCAAGCTCTATGTGGGTCAAAATACGAAGCGGAGCTTACAACGGTTTTAAAATGTTTATCCTTGGAGCTTTTACAAAAATAGGACTGGCATAGACAAACCAAAACTTTAAGCTCGGTGAGAAAATAGGTACGATTTTGCGCTAGAATTTGTGCAGAGACTTTTGGAACAAGGCCGATAATAACATTAATAGTATTTACAAACTTTCGCTTGCCCTGCAGTTCGCAATGTCATATAGGGTTTGAAAAATGCAGAAATGCAGCTAATGGTTATGCTGAGCATAAAATAATAAGCAAAGTGAAAGTTTCATTTCCGGATCATACTTAAATTTACAATAAATATGGAATGGGTGTCATACGAACACTTGGGTCATTGCGAGGCTTAGACAAGGGCCACCTTTAAAATTCTGCGATTCTTCATTTCCCAAACAAAAACTCCTTTCTTGTATTTTTCTCGCCGAGTATTGAAGTAATGACGATTTTTCTATTTTTTTTTTTCCATATTTTCACCAATTGTTTCTATGACAGCTACATATATGGTATAGTCATCCGATTTTCATGAAATTTAATTAAATTATTTATTTATATGAAATCAATGCACTTAAAAATCTGATTAAAATTAGAAAAGTCATGTACTTAGAATTAGTTAGTTTGCTGAAAATTGACCAAAGTTCACTACATTTATAAGTGGCATATCTAATGTATTAAATATTTCTCTTTCAGTATTCATCGATCAACGAGGGCAGTTGGAAACTGAAGGGCGTGGCAAAGTTTCGCGCCAGATTCTTCGAGGAGAAGGTCTGCGATACAATATACTATAACAACATCATTAACATAAGAAACTAACTTATTATTTATTTGGAAATCGAATTATGAGAAAAATTATCAGATCCCAGCACTTTTAGGCGCATAACCTTTCTAATTTTTATTCGATTTACAAGTGGCATATCGCCCTTATGCATTTTGATCGACATATTTGATGACTGCAAGGGTATATAAGCTCCGGCTTGCCGAAACTAGCTTCCTTTCTTGTTAATTTTAGACACCAGGCGAACAAAAACGTGTAGCAGGTGTATTTTGAATTAATCTAACTAATATTTATCAGACGGGACCTTCTACAGATTATGTTCGGCTGGTGTCCGAAATCCAATCATTTGATAAAGAGAGATTTTCTTACATTTGGACAGTCAAAATGGCAAATTTTAAAAACAAAATAACAGGCGCACAGGAATGCCTAGAAGGAGGCCACAAAATCCAAATAACCATATCCGAGTTTCAATCCCAGCGGATCGTAGGTGGATCATATGTGGATCGTATTTCCAAAAAATGGTTGTGCTAAAAATGTACCAAAATTCACAAAATTCACAAAATCTTAGTACAAAACTTTTCTAATTTTAATCAGATTTTAATGTGGCATACCTCTAATCGTTTGTATTTTAATTCTCTAACGAACTGCATCATTAGTTAGTTTAGTTACAACCCATCTCAAAATTTCCAAAATGTGGGTTTGCTGAAAAGTGACCAAAATTCACTGCATCTAAAGTGCATAACTTCTTAATTTTACTTTATAAATATCGAAAATGTATACGCTTTATGGAGTTTGAAGTGTATCCTTCACTGTGTTGCAAACTTCTGACTGAAATTCTAATACCCTCTACAAGAGTATAAAAACCTCGTATATCAAAGTTTCATGCCAAACAGTTCTTTGAAAAAGAACTATACGTCGAGCTAAGTTTCGAACCTGATAATAGGGTGATAATATTCGTGCAACAACTTTCACATCTGCCCAAGTTTCAAACCTGCGTTGGCAAGCGTAACGTACAAATGCCCAAAGCTATGCAACATTTTTGAGAAATATCTTACAACAATTTTTCACCCAGGGAAGCTTAACCAATTTCACAGGATCCAACAAAAACCAGAGTAATTAAATTTTTTTTATATTTTAATAAATTTTCTTTGTTCTTGAATACATACAATGCTCTTGTTTGTTTGTTTTTTGTTTGTTGTATAACACCGACAAAGCAACTGGTTTCGCTGTGGATAGATAGATAGTTCCGAGCGATGCCGAATTATACGCCATCCAAGTACATGTACACGTGGGCTCCCCGGGGAACCCGTAAATATGTGTAGATATATAGGTAAATATATTATTTTCATATATGTAGATGAGTGCGTTATCGCGTATGTGTGTGTGTGTGTTTGTTTCTTGTGTAAATATGCACAATGATATAAAAAGTTACATAATTGCATTATGCTTGACTTCTATATGTGTATCCAAAAGATATTGTTCACAAAAAATATCTTCGTAAAACAAGTTGTTTTTTTTTTGTATTATTTTTAGCTAAATATTCTTCTTGCACACACACACACATGTATATTTTTTTATAGATGTAAATCGTATATAAGTATGTTTTTGTGTATATATAAGATATTCCTTGTTCGCTTCATTACTCTGTATATATATAAATTTACTTGACAGAAAAAAAAACATTTGTTTTACTTTCCCGTTTGTTTGTTGTAAATGTTCACAAATACAGGCTTTAGAGTACTACAAATTGGGTTTATCCATAAATGGGGAGTACGTTGTTTAATTCTAGTTTCGTTATAATACATACATAAGGAAAGTGCTGCCAGCTGCGTCAGAGAATCGAATGTAGATGCCTTTCATGGTCATGGAATGGAGCTATATAGCCATCTGCATAACCACGTTATACACCATTCACAAATCCTGATCCTTGGACAGTTTCCCGGATACATTAACAATGATATTTCGACTTTGTTTTCATCTCTTAGTGAACAGACAACTTAATTTCCCCTTTGCTTGTTGGCTTGGCCGCTCTCTTGTGTGTGTGCTCAACCGCTTACCGATCTAGTTAAATCCTATGTATCCTTAAAGAACTACAGAAAAAAAAAAACACTTGTATATTTGGATACTCAGTTATGGACTACATACGAAAAAAAAACATTTCCCTAGGGCTAAGTTTCACTTTCTTACGCGAGAATCAAGAACGAAAAGAGATAGTTGGCTGTTCGAGTTTGAGAAAAAGCTGACTAAACACTAGGTTTCTCCAAAAAAACATTTGCTATATATACACCCCTGTGGCGGCTTCCGACTCCAAATCTTATTCAAAATTAGCGCTGCTTCCGAATTCTCTCCAATTTTTAGAACACCGATTTCAGGAAGGTTAAGTTTAATCTTTAAACTGACTAAATACGAGTTTATCTAGATTTAAATTCGGTTTCCGAAATAAACTTATCTAGTTACATCCAAGAGTTTATGTTTTATCTTTAAGGATACTTTACATTTACAAAAGAGCAACAAAATACGAAAGCTCTAGCTAACAATGCTTTTTGATAAATTGTTATAAAAGTAAGAAACATAAAAAGCGATTCAGTTAAGTTGTTGTATCGTTTGAGAACAAGAACAAATTTGGTCAGTTCAGAGCAATAAATCAGTAGATATTCTTTCTGGAGTTTCGAGGCTAAGTCTGTTTCCGATTTCGATTGGAAACCTAACAGGGCCGCTAATAAATATATTCGATATGCCCCTTCTTGCTGCAAGGCAAGGGCCAAAAAAAAAAATCAAATGTGATTGTGGCAAAAAAAAAAAAAACATAAACAAGCGTAAGTCTACAAGCTAAATTTCGAAAACAATGTACACGCAAATCTAGAACTCCTTGAGGCTGCCGCCGCGCTTCAGTTTGGTCAGCCGCTTCAGGCTGGCACCCAACATGCCGCCGCCCGATCCTCCAGCTCCTCCCACTCCTCCAGCTGCTCCATCGCTGCCCGCGCTGCGGTCCCGCTGGATGAACGATCCCCGGAAGCGAACCCTGCCACGTCCGCGTCGCTGCAGCTGCAACTGCTGCTGCAGGTGCAGGTGCTGCTGCTGCAGGTGCAGCTGCTGCTGCTCGCCCACGCGGCGCCACAGCTCGGTGAGCGGCGGATGGTGCTGGTGGGGATGCTGCTGAAGGGTGCAGCAGCACACCAGCTCCTGCGATTATAACTTCTTCTCCCACACCACGATGTGTGCGTCATTGGAGTTGGCCGTCAGCGGCGAGCAGCTGGGATTGCCGCCGCCCGCCTGCGTCGCCTGTCCGCTGGAGCCGGAGGAGCCGCTGCCTCCGCCTCCGCCTCCTCCGAAGCTGGAGCTGCTGTTCTTATGGCTGGGCGAGCCGCTCGCCCCGTTGTACCACATCTGCCGCCAGTAGCCGCGTCCGCCCATCAGGGTGATCACGGTCCGCGGGCCGTCGGCGCTCTGCTGCTGCTGCTGCTTGCTGGTCTGCTTCTGCTTCCTCTTCAGAGTGGCCACCGCGGCGGCGGGCTTGTCCAGTCCGGCGTTGAGTCGGCTCATCTCCTCCTGCCTGGCTGCACTGCTCTGCTGCTGCTGCTGTTGCTGCTGCTGCTGCTGCTGCTGCTGCTGCTGCTGTTGGTGGTGGTGGATGTCCGCCGTGGTCATCAGTCCGTTCTCCGATATGTTGCCCAGATCGCTGCCCGTGCCGGAGGTCTTGTGGCTGGCGCTGCTGCTGTTGCGCGAGACGGACCGGCCGCCAAAGTGCCGGATGCCCATGCTCTCCTCGCTGCCCGACGAGGTGTACAGACTGGAGGACTTCGAGTCCACCGACCAGTTGGACAGGTCCAGTGATCTCGGCCGCGAGGCCTTCATCCGCAGGCGCCTGTCCAGGGTGCACACCTTGCCGGGTATGGCGGCCAGCTCCGGATCGGACCGCCGCATGCCCTCGTACATCATGTCCATCAGGTTGCCCTGGTTGCCCTCCTCCGCGTCGTAGTCCTCCTTCACGAATATCAGCTTGCCATACAGCCCGTACACATCGCACATGCCGTGCTCTCCGTGCTGCGAGCTGTTTCCCCCAGACGAGGTGCCACCTCCACTGGCCGCTGCTCCTCCACTTCCCATTCCAACTGCTCCCCCGCCGGCGGCAGTGGCTCCCAGACCGCGGGGCAAGGTCTTCGACATCCTGTTCGGATCATCGCGGAATCGCTTGCGATGGAACGCCGGCGAATTGGCCAGCGAAGCGCGTATCTTGGCCGTGAAGCTCTGGTCCAGCGAGTTCTGCTTGTCCAGCTTGGAGCTGCGCGGCGACGAGGCCGCCGAATCGGTGGCCACCACCGCCTCCTCCTTCACCAGATCGCGTCGCAGCACGACAACGGCACTGTCGTCCAGCTCCTGGATCTTGGGGTCCGCATCGATGGCCGGCAGCTGGAGGTCGTCGCCCATGCTGGGCACCAGTGGCGCCACGCCCACCGGCGGTGGCTTGTAGGCGGGATAGACCTTGGGGATGAGCGGCAGCAGGAAGGTGATCGGTCCGAAGTGGGCGTGGCAGGACATGTTGATGCCGCCGCTGATGATGGGCACGCCCTCGAGTCGCGGCAGCGGAATGGTGACCGCGATGCCCACATTGGTGCCCACCCAGAGCAGTCCCTTGCAGGCCATCAGGGCGGTCACGTAGACGGAGCTGTTGTTCAGCGGCTGCTCCTTCTTGCCGTCGTGCCGCAGGACGCTCGAGGCGATGTTGATGTCTTGCAGGTGCTTGAAGGTCTCCGTGTGGTACAGGCACAGCATGGTCGAGTTCTTCAGCGAGATCCACAGGCCGATGCCCGAGTGGGCCATCAGGTTCACCTGCTGGCTGGCACCGTGCTGCACCTCGAAGCTCCGCTGGATCTCGCCATTCAGGGCGTTCATCACGTACACCCGGTTGCCACAGGAGGCATAGATGCACATGTTGATGGGCAGCAGGCTGGGCACCGCCAGGTCGGAGTCGCCCAGCCGTATGGTCTGCGGATCGCGCAGCTGCCAAACGCCGTCGTTGCCGCGCCGGAAGATCAGAACCGTGGCTCCCGAGAGGGCCACATAGACGGCATCGAAGTGGTAGAGGATGCGCTGCACGGCCCCCGGCACCGAGTAGCTGCCCAGCTGCTCCTCCTGCTCCGGATTCCTGGCCGAGTAAACGAGGATCTTGCGGCTGTCCGTTCCCAGCCAGACCAGATCGCCCAGCAAGCTAGCGGGCTCATCGCGCGTCCTCAACTGATCCAGTCCCTTGACGAACTCCAGGGCGGAGACCTGCGTCTCGAAGAGATCGAAGGCGCCCGCCTCGCGGAGGTTGCCCGCCTGCTGGGGATGCTGCGCCAGCACGGTGATGTGCGACGAGGTCCCGTCGCTGCTGCACATCCACAGGTAGTTGAGCTGCTTGTGCCGCCGCCGCGCGTTGCCGCTCTGTTTGGTGTCGTTGGCGATGCTGTAGTAACATCCACAGCGCACCTGCAATTGCATTTGCATTTAATAATATCACAAATATGGTTGGGGATTAGATTATATTATATATATTATACAAATAATACATATCATTTATTATTTATATATTATATATGAGGAGTCTTCCCTTTTACAATTGGTTAAGTGTGCCTCTTCTTCTGTGTGTCAACTTTAATATAATATTATTTTATTATATTATATTGATTTCAAGACACAAATACAGAACCACACAAACGAATTGTTTGATTATATAGATTATATATAATATAAAAATAATATATAGTATAGTATATATATAGTATTATTTATATATTATATATGTGAAGCCTCTAGATACGTATTATTTCCTTTATACATTTGGTTAAATATGCCTCTTTTTCTGTGGTGTCAACTTGATTATAATATTATTTAGTATTTGGTAATCATATTGTTTACAATATGTTTACCACACAAACCAATTGTAAAAAGCTCACTACATTTTAGATAGGATAAACCCTATAAACCCACCTCGGTTTGATGCTGTGACTTGTAGACCGGCATCGCCTTGACAAAGAGCGGCATCTTGCGCGACTGCTTCTGCTGGACGGCCTCCTGCAGCTGCAGCTGCTCCTGCGTCTGGCGGGGATCGCCCGCTCCGCCGTGCGGATGCTGCGCTGGGTACTGGTGGTGGTGGTGGTGGTGCAGGTGGTGGGCGGGCTGCGGATGCGAGCCGCCGCGCTCCCAGGCCGGCGAGTTGTTCGGATCGAGGGCCAGCTGGGCCAGGCGCAGCTCGGTGATCCACTCCTTCTTCACCGCCGGCGTCTGCGTCTGGAATGTGAAGGTCTCCTCTTTGCCGGACTTGTGGCGTCCGATCAGCTGCAGGCAGCAGGAGTCCACCCAGGCCATCTCCTCGTCCTTCCGCTGGATCGATCCCTGGATCAGGTTGAGCACGTTGCGCGTGGTGTTCGCGTTCAGCTCCTTGTAGCTGCCCTTCAGGCTGCACACCAGGTCCTGGATGCGCGAGATCACCTCGTAGTCGTACATCAGCGTGCTCATCTCGCTGCACAGGTTGTCCGCCCCGTTGGTCAGCTGGGCCGCCGGCGAGCTGTGCGGGTCCCCGAAGCTGGGGAACCCGCCGGCGCCGCCTCCGTGTCCCGGCAGAGTGCTGTTCGCATAGGGACTCCCGTTGGCGCCGCTGCTCCCATTCGACTTCAGGCTGCCGCCGCGGTTGAGACCTGTCAACAAAACAAATTGTAGTGTGAATAAACAATATATAAAGTAGATATAAATTATACCGAAATAAATAGTAAATATTTTATTAATATAAAATACTTTTTTAGGTTAAATTTTAGGGGTTTATCAATAATAGAAATAAATAAATATCTTTGACTTGGAAACTATTATATTGCTTACTTAACTTTTATCAGGAATTCTATGGATTCCAAAGAACATTGAGTTGAGTTCTTAAGCTTATTGGTTAAAGAGAGTTCTTAAGAAAATGTTGTAATAACTCGGAATAAATAGGATTATATTATCATTTTCTTTACAAACTTAACACGAAGCTTATTTTCACACTTTTTTTTACAAGTAAATGGGAATAAATAGGAAATCGCAAAACGAAAATAAATACATATTAAATCTTTCTCCTACAACTCAAGCCAATTTATATGGTGCTTATGTATCAATTGAACTTTTCTCTACATAAATAAATTAGGTATGGTATATAACATTAATTTTCAGCCCTTGTGGCCATCCTTACCCGCTGTGAGAATCCTCGAGAGCGTCGCGGAGGTGCTGTTGTCGACGATCTCGACGTCGTTCACCGGGAACATCCACTTGAAGGTGAGCTTCTCGGTGGCCCCGAAGTCGTGCGACTGCTTGGGAGCCACCGACACGCAGATGACCTTGTCGTTGAGCAGGAGCAGCCGGCGCTGCTTGCACTTCACAATGAATCCCGCCTGGTTGAACTCCATGTGGGTGACGTTGTCCTCGCGGAGCAGGTACCTCGGCCGATGGCCGCCGGCGGAGTCGCTCACACTGACGCTGCTCAGGCTCAGGGAGCGGGCATTGAAGGTGCCCGAGATGTGGCCGAGCATCTCCTTGAAGGCCTGGTACTGCTCCGCCTCCCGCTTGCTCTCGTTGAGCAGCTCCGCGAGGAGCTCCAGCTGCGACAGGGCCAGCTGCAGGGACATCCGGTCGTGGTGGCCCTGCGGCGTGTACTTGAGCAGGTCCTGCAGGAAGAGGATAAACTGGGGAAAGCGCTGCACCGGCTTCACCATCAGCCCGAAGAACGAGAGGCGGTCGTGGGCGCTGATCTGTTTGACCTTGAAGAAGTCGGCCAACGCCGACTTGCGCTTCTCCTCCATCTTGGCCAGCTCCATGGCGGCCGAGAAGTTGTTGATGAAGCCCGAGTAGATCTCCAGCAGCTGCGGCTTCCCAAAGGCGCTCACAAAGCAGTCGCCGATCTTCTCGTCGCGGTCCCAATTCCGGACGCACTCCGCCAACGAAATCCGGAACAGCTTATGCGAGTGCAGGATGTCCGGCAGGCAATGGAACAGGGTGGCGATCTTCAGCGGATTCAGCACCGGCGGACTGCACTCCTCCAGCGGTTTCTTGTAATCCTGCGGAACAAGAGAGGCACACCGATCAGTACTTCAATATTTTACAAGGATTTTTAAGGAGTCACACCAGCCTGTATTTGCTAAAGGTCCAATGTTCCTAATAAATCTGTGCTTTCTTTTTTAATTTAAATACATTTTTATAAAAGCATAAGGTACTGAGAATTTTAAAAGGCTTCGATTCAATTGAATAAATAATCCTAATTTTTGTATTCAATTTTTAATCCCTATTTAAGTCGTGGTGCAACACCTTTTATTTATTCGTTTACCAAGCTCTTTGCGCCGGATTTTCAATAAGTCACAGTTTTGGCTTAGATTTTAATCGGGGTTTTGTATTACGAGTAATTACATGTCTTGGTTTCTCTAATTTTGTGACTACTTGTGGGTGAATTGTGATTTTTGGGGCTCAAATTGGGTGTGTGTGGTTGTACTGGTTAGTGGGCGAGTAAGTGAATGTGATTAGTTAGTTAGTTGGTTGGTTGGTTGGTTGGTTGGTTGTTATATGACGGTGAAATCGGCAGTTATGGCATATGGGAAGAGGATGGCATGTAAAGAGATCAAATGATTTGACATGAGATTAACATTAGTCGGTGGTTAAATGGGGTAACTAAGGTTGACTAACCACTAAGGCATGCGCTGATTTTACGTAATAATACAATACATAAGCTACATTTTGAAGAGGTTCTTATAATGAAATGAAAAGTAAATGAGGTAAATTAATGGTTAAAATCTATGCACATCTAGTAACTCCCTCCCCGAATTTCACCTATGAAAGCGATACAAAATCATATACACAACCAAAAAACGGACTGAGACACATATACTTGACTACTAAAATATCAAATACTTTTGAAAAGATTTAACGACCATGAGCCTGAAAGATCTCAACCTGACGAAGGAGCAAATCCAAAAGCTTCAGCAGCTGCTAAAGGACGAGGAGGAGGAGAAGGAGGAGCAGGAGGAGCAGGAGGAGCAGGAGGAGCAGGAGGAGCAGAAGAAGCTGAAGGAGCAGCGAAATGGCGAGGACATTGCCAGGGCCATGAGCAATGTGCAGGTCTTCATGGAGGTTGGCAATCCAGAGGGTTTCGTGCAGATGACGCCGCCGCAGTTGCACAAGTTTCACATTTCCCCAGAGGGCGTGAGTTCGGGATCTCTGGACTCGAATAGGTTCGAGCGGGTGGATATCGGGGCGATTGCCCGCTGGGACTTGAATAGGGTGACCACGATGAACTACGTTTCCAAGCAGGATGCCGAGCAGTTCGGCAAGATCCAAAGGGATGAGAAAACGGGCGAAGTTTACATGCTCGTGCCGGTGGATATTAACATATTGGTGGATGAGACCAAGTTAACGCGTGATACGGCCACACAACCCATCACCGAATATGAGGCCTACAAGGAGGAAACGGGGCCTGGTCACACTTTCTATCTGTACCACGAACTCGAGGGACATCCCTGCAAGCTGCCGCAAGCGGCGCTCGATCAAAATCCCCAGTGCAGCCAGGTGGTGCCAGTGGAACCGCCTGGAGATGGAACTGGAATCAACTGGGAGTATCACATGCACAATTTCGAGGTGCCCCGGTTGAACTTTCCCTTCGAGCTCACCTTTGACCCGGGAATGGAAATCGAAGGGGATTCGGAAAGCTATCCGCTTGTTGGACAGCATCCAACGGATATTAAATCGACGGAGGAGATGGACGATGATGAACTCACCTGTTTGTCCGACAGGTTCTCAAAAGTACTTTAACAACTTGACATAACTCGATTTCTAATTTCGGTTGCACTCTCTAAATCATTAAGTCAAACGGTGGACTTAATTGTATAGTTTAAATGAATCTAATGAAAAAATGAGTAACGATATCCAAGATCAGTTTCTAATCTTAAATTCTTAAATTCTTTAAATAAACTACTATATTTAATGGGCTTCCATGGGGCTATATTTTGTAACCGATCAAGGGGATATAGCTTAAACAGGCACTCACATTGACTAGTCGCTGCAGGGTGGCCACATACGAGTTCTCGCTGTGCACGATGGCTGCCACGATGTGGCGCCTCTTCAGCTGCTGCTGGGACAGTCCGGCGGGGGCGGGCGGCAACATGGGCACAATCAGCCGATTGTGGGCGGTACGAGCGGTCCCGTTGGCACGACTGCCCGGCGTCATCATCAGGTCCATGTCGAAGCGGTTGGCGCTCGCCTCATCGTCCTCCGACTGAAAGAAGGTAGATATGTTAAATGTTAAATACTAAATAAAGTATTGCTAACAATAATGAAATTGAAAACAAAAGTACCCATATTTAATTGATTGTAAATAAAATGCGGAAAAAGAGGTTAATTTTGACGAGTTCCTCACCTCTGGCACTCCGGGCATCATCTTGCTGGCTCCCAAGTTGGCCAGCTTCTGCGGCGAGGCGGCGTCCAGCGCTGCGCCTTGGCCCACTCCGGCGGAACCAGCTCCGGAGCTGCCTTTGCCCGCGCCTCCCGCGGGGGAGTTACCCGGCCCCGCCCCCGAATCGGGCGTATCGAAGCTGGAGGCCGTCGAGTGGCGGCCATCGCGTCCCCCCCACATCGTACTGATGGGAGGAGCCGCGCCTGATGGAGAACCAGCGGGACAGGCGACCCCCGGGCGATTCGCCCGGCGTGGTGGCCTCCTCCCGCTGGGAGCCACCGGATCCTCCGCCACTCGATGGCATCGTGCAGGCACTGGCCCTGCGCATAATCATGTTGCTGGCGGCGGCGGCGGCGTTATTGTTCTCAGTGGCTGCTGATGACGATGATCCTGGTCCGGATGCGGATGCGGATGCGGTTGCGGAACCTGTTGCGCTTCCGGTGGCGGCCGTGCGCCATTTGTCAAAGGACAAATGCTGCTTGGCCTTGTTAAAGGTGGAACGCAATTGCGAATTGCGTTGGTTGCCGGCACTTAGCGAACTCACGCTGCTGCTGGTATGCTCCTCCTCGGTGAGAACCTCCGCCTCCTCCTGCAGCTCCAGGTGATCTGGCTGAACCTGTTGCTCCTCCAGCTGCTCCTCCTCCTGCTCCTCGGGATCCTTGTCCCGCTCGCGATGGCGGTCGCGGTCGCGGCACGGCGATTTGGTGTCCCGTTCGCTGCTGCTTCCGCAGCTGCTGCTACTGCCCACGCCGACACCAACGGCAGCCTGGCCACCGTTGGCGCTGAAGCTTCCGCCGGCAATTGTGGCTGCTGTGGTGCAGCCCACTGCGTCCCGCTGATCTCGCTGATCCCGCTGATCTCGCTCCCGCTGCTCGGCAATCCGCCGGCTAAACGCACTGTGCAGCTGGGCGGTGGTGATGCTCGCACTCGATGGCGACGCCCCAAGGAAGGAGCTCTGCTGCTGGTGGCGCTGGCTGTGGTGCGAGTGGTGCAGGTGGTGCGAATGGTGCGCGTGGTGGTGGTGCGGCTCGTCCAAGGTGTCCTCCCATGAGCCGGAGTTCAGTTTGTGTTCATCTGGAAAAGGGAAAAAACGAAAATATACATAAGTATATAAAATACAAGATACAACATATTATTCCACAATAAATAATATTATTACCATAAACCTAATTCAATAAATATTATTGCTTACGCAATGCCTTATTATTGTAAAACATCACTTCATTTCTATTTATTTGCTGATTAAAATCCCATTTCATGGGTATCCCCCCTCCAAAAGAATCACAAACATTCAATATCTAGAAGTTCCCCCTGGGTGACGTCGTTTACACAAAAGCATTACCAATTATGTGGCGTTGGGCAAGTGAGTTAATTGCCAGCAATTGTGGGCCATATGCAGATGAAGTCGGCCGAAACGGCAGCACAAACAGGATTTGGCCATGGCCGTCATGTCGCGGTTCGCGAGATTACCGCCAATTTTTAGCGGCGTGGGACTGACTGGGATTTCGTGGGGGACTGGATTTCGTGGGGGGGAATTGAGTTGAGGAGGATGAATGGAATGGCGGCATCAAAGCCAGAAAGCCGCCAGTTCTGGCCAAGACTCATTCTGGCATCGTGTGGGTTACTTGCCAAGTGGCCATGGCCGGAAAGCCAGCAGCAACTCCCACACTGGGCCACGTACTCCACCACTCCGCCACTCCGCCACTCGGGCACTCAGACTTAATAGACCCACACCAACCACTGCGTCAGAACCACCAGAACGGCATTAGAAAGACAACTGTCAGGCCCAAAGAACGCACTGCGAGAAACTAGCAGTGCCATTTAACAACAAGCCAAAAAGTTATAGCATTCTTTTCAATAAAATTCGAACTAGAAATGTCAAAAAGAAATCCCTATAAATTTTAACCCACACATTTAGTTGCATTTATGAAATTAATGCAACCATTAATTCTCTTATATTTTAGAGACCTATTTTCTTACGGTGCACTTATGAGCTGAACACTAAACAAACATTAGGATGGCGATTTCGATTCCGATTGCGATTCAGATGGAGAAACATAGCCACGGCCGCAGAAACAAAACAGATTCGAGACAAACTCGATGTCATGTTCACGACCATTAATCATCCAATTGGACGGCGGAGGAGTGGGGATGGGGATGGGGATGGGGATGTGGATGTGGATGTGGTGACAAGTCGGGTTCAGTTAGCTGTGATAATTGCAAATTCAGCTCAGTCCATCGCGTAGCCCGCCCCCCCCAAAACGCCCCTTTTAATCCCCTTTCAAATGTGTGGAAAAAGAAAAACCAAAATATGTACATGAAACAGGGAATGGGAAAATTGTATAAATATTTTGTGCAAAATGTGAAAACATCTTCAAAATTACATTATATATACGGCCCAAAAAAGGGAGACGAATTTTGCTTTTACAAAATTGAGTTTGTGTAACTTTTTGGGGGGCGGGTGGAAACTCGACTCGCTTTTCACATATTGAAAAGAGCAGTGAAAAATGGTGGGCGGGGGGGCGTGGCAGCAAGACAGCGTTTAAGTTGATTGTTGGCAAACATATTTTGTCTTTTTTGTTCTTCTTTATTTTTTTTTTTTTTTTTGGTACACTTGGTTTAATATAATCTGTAAGCACGCAAATGCGACCGAGGGAGAGTTTATTAATTAATCTTAAATAAGTTTGAAAGAGGGGATTAAGTGATGAGGCAGAAATGTAGGAAGTATGAATACAAAAATACACGCAAAATAAAATACAATAAACTAAATAAATATGAAAAATAATAAAGAAAACAAGTAGCTTGTAATTCGCGTCCTTGCTACTTTATTAACCAATTAATTTTAGTTGGTTCAGTGACACACTTTTCCGTTGAGGGATTTCCCAAATTCCAATAGTTTTTTCATCCTGACTTCGCCACCCCTACGCACAAGCATCGAAATCTCCATAGTCGCGGTTTATGTAATTTATCAACATGCTATTCGGATTTCGATTTTGTTTGGCCCGTTACGACATCACGTATACGCACCGCTGGCTCATTAATTATCATCACGGCAATGTGCAACAGTTAACGGAAACCGAAAAACGAACTCCTGCGAACGGCACGCAAATAGCAGAGGGAAGACAACAAATAAAAAGAGTCCCCTTTGGGTGCATCTAAGCCACCTCCGCGACTTTTGTTTTTTTTGCATAATGGGAAATGATTGTGAAAAATTAATCATACGCCATGTGAGCCCGCGGGGGAGTCTCCCGAAAAAATCGCGATTCTGCCATGCAATATTTGTCGGCGTGTTTCGTTTTGTTTACCATAGTTTGGCACAACTATTATTGCCTTCGGTCCATCAGACAGTCAGTCAGTCAGTCAGTCAGTCAGTCAGTTAGCGAGATATTCATTCGCTCACTTATTCATTCAGTCCATTCCATTCGGCGGTACCAACCAATTGCCGCGGGTGATTAATGAGCCACTCATTAATGCCAATGCAGAATACGCGCACAGCCGCAGACTCGCAGCAACAAAGAAATCTCTGCAAATGCTAATGCTAATGCTCACTTAAATTATACAAATTACACACATCCACACGTCGCCATATCTGTTTGTTCTTTATTGTTTTGCCAACTCATTTCACGCCCACAGGGAACCACTACAGACACAATTAGCAACTGAAACAGCAACAGAAACAAAAACAGAAACAAAAACAGCAACAGAAACAGAAACAGACCGCAAACAGTCATAGAAACAAAGTCAGGCGGAGCCGGGTCCATTGCTAATTGAAATGACAAACCACAGAGACTGTGTGCAACTACGGTCTCAAAGGTTCAAAGTCTTCGCATACCCTGACCTGTTTTGGCCAAAACGAATCAATCAAAAGTAGCCACCCGGCTTATTTTTTCGTAAAAGTAAAGTGAAAAAGTAACCAATGTTTTAATCCCTGTTTGAATTCATATTAAGCAAGTCAAACTTCGGGTAGAGTAACCACTTCAGTTTTTAAGTTTATCCAATTAAGTATATCTTCATTGCCGCCAAAGGAAATTCGCTATATTATAACTTTTTCACCTCAATCTTAATATTCGCCGGAACAAAGTTTGCTCATTTAATAAATTATTTCAAACTTTCAGAGAGTTTAACTAACTAAAGTTTGTTAACCAACCAAGGTTGATTTAATTAATAAAAATTATAAAGTGGAAATTTCCTATTTTATTTCACTTGCATTTGACCTGCACGGCTTATGATTATTTGCAATAAAACTTCATCTAGTTCAACATATATTTCAAATGAATTGCTGCGAGAAACTGTGGAAACTTTGTGGCCCAAAAGTTCTTGGCAGAGTTTGAGCCAAAATGGAAAGCCCCTTATCAAGGGTATTACCGACGCAACTAAAAACTCTAGACTCACTTTGCGCTGCATTTGATGTGCCCTTCTGCCCCCAAAGATGCTTCATAAATATTTCAGTCCAGCGCAGAATGCAGGCCAGAATGGTTAAGTAGCTGGAAACTAGTCACCTGCTGTTACGCCCTTTCTCCCGCCCCTCCGCGTTTCTCCGATTCTCCATTTCTCCAGAGGGGCTCTAATGAGGCCACAAGGCTTCGTGCGACTCTCTGCCACGAGTTGCAAAGTAATTTCGTGTGTGTGTCTGAAATTGAGCAGCGGGCAGCCAACGCCCCCCTTCTCGTTTTTCCCCAACCCCAACCCCAACCCCACCCCCTTCCCCTTCTACCTTCCTCTCTAATTTCCTCCCATTCTGCTAACCCCGCTTCCCTCCCTCAGCTCAAACCATCTCTTTCTGCTTGGCACCCGGTGCAGAAATTCAGCAAAGTTAGCAAGTTTTCTAAGCCAGCTGCAGGGGAATACTGGTGGCCAAAGGAGTTTAAAGAGGGGCGACGCAAGTTGGGGTTACACAAAAAATATCTATTCGGAATTGGTCCATAAATAAGCAAATCACTGGATTCTATGAAAATCAAAAATGCAGTATGAAATTATAGGTTGGATTCTACAGGTCTTCCACAAAATTGCAAGGTAACATTGCGCCCGATGTGACCAGTTGCTATTATGAAGCGAATGCAAATAAACTTCTGTTAAATCTTCATTACTAAGTATGTATATTTTTCTCGGTGTTAAAGTAAAAGTGGAAGCTTGCGGAAGCTCATTACGCGCACTGCCAAAATGGGAAAAACCCAAAATCGCAGAAGACAAGGCAAGGGAATCTCACACACGGATATATGGCACAAAAAAAAAAAAGAAACCCCTTCGCAAATTCCCCAACCCTCCTACCTTCGGTTACACGTGGCCATAATAAGTGTGGAAATTGCTTTCTATTTGCAATTTTGATGCCCAGGACCAAGACGAAATGAAAACGAGGCGGAAAGGGAGAAGGAGCTGAGTGGAAAGCAAAGGCCGGGAAAACCGAGGAAAAACTCGGTGCGGAAAGTCAAGGCAGCTCGTGCCTTTGTCATAAACTAATTATTATAATGTAAATCACACACGCAGAAGTGGGCTTCTAACGGCAACCAGCCTCCAATCCAAACATCGGACGGATGATAATGAGCTAATCCTGCATATTCATGAGCGGAAGCAGGTGGCAATAAGGGGGCGGGGCAGGCGGAAGTGCTGAAGAAGTACTGGATTAAGCCGGAAAATTCTACAGGTGCACTGGGCAAAATTACAAAACAAAATGGTACAGACTTTATGTAATTGAAACAGCTTTTTTGTCAAGCTTCAACGATTAAATATATTTCCTATATTCAAATATGCATTTTTAAATGAAAGGTAGAATTTTTACTGGTTTTGAGGACAGATAAACAATCTGCGGCTGCCTTAATCAAGCTCGATTCTTGGCCAAAACCATGCTGATGAGGAGAAACCGAATCCGATCGATCTATAGTTCCGCCTCACTTTCTATCCCCCGTTTTCCCCATTCTTCGGAGGATTGCGTGTTGGAGTCAATATAAAAAAAATACCCGGGCCAAAAGAAACTGCACACCGTGGACTGGAAATGGAAATGGAGATGGTCCAAATTAATGACATCAAAATTAGGCAGGCAGACAACAGAAAAAAACAAAAAAAAATAACAGAAAAGA